GATTTTAAGGGCCACTAAATCACCCAATTGCTTACAGATCTCCACCTTGGGATTTCCACAAGCCCTTTCTGGACCCATATTTGAGACACTAAAGACAGTCCCACTCTGAATTCTGTCCATAAAAGTACTGTTTCCTGTAGCTGTTACAGCCTGGGGGTGGGGGGGGGCATAAATTAGCCTTCTATCAATCCTTATTGGAAATATGATACATATTCCCTCTGTTTTGCTTAGGACCTAAAATAACTGTTCTATTCCATAATTCCATAATTCACAGTCCATTCTTTTGCCCTCATCGGGCCCACACTCTAGAAAAGAATCAGCATAGAAAAGAATCAGATATTAGGCAGACTCTCAATACCAGGCCCACTCTTGGTTTCCTTTTTACCCACTTTTACCCACTGAGAAGAAGGTCTCTTCTACTATGTCCTATATGTGTATAGTGCAGAGCATGTACATTTATGACCTATGAATCCCTTGATTTTCCCAGACTACAAAACATGACAGCACATTCTGCCATATCAGAGGCCATGTCAACAACTTTGTCAGCTAATGCTACCCTGGAGAAAATGTGCAAAGCAGCAATCTGGGGCACGCCTCCCATGTTCACACAGTGTTATGGACTAGATAAATTCACCTCAGCCTGGGGATCATTCTCTTTTCCTCTCAACTTGGGAATGGATTTAGGAAGAGCCAGGGACCCAGCAAGAAATGCTTTCTTAAAAAGCATTATTCTTTTCCTTGCCTGGCCAGTGACTGTATGCAATTAACTAAGGCACAGATGGCTCCTTCGTCTTGAATAGAATGGCCCTTCATAGTAAGTTCTCCAGCATGCCATTCACAAAATTCCTTTAGCCAGAGATTATTGTGACACCTAGCAGCCTTGTACCAGATTTTTTTTCTTTTCATAAAATATTCTCATTCAAATTTGGAAGGATTTCCATATTCTAAGGAAAGAGGACTGTGTGCATATTTTAAGACAAAAGTTGGCTACCTGTGACACACAGGTTCTGGGTTATAACTGAGGTCACATGCTAAAAAAAGGTAGTACAAGAGGGATGGAGGTGAAAGCATGGCTCCCCATACTTTTCTCTGAGTGTTAGAGATGTAATCCTTAGGGACTGATTGGAGTTACCAGTCCAAGGGCAAAGTGCATCAGTACTTAGAAGTAGGAGGTTAATTTCAGCTCCTAGGAATCAAATAATAGGGTTAGTTAGCTGTTGCTTTATTTTCTTTTTGTTTTAATGTGTTGATGAGGAAGCATTTTATACAGGACATAGATTTCATAGAATCATAGAATCATAGAATCAAAGAGTTGGAAGAGACCTCATGGGCCATCCAGTCCAACCCCCTGCCAAGAAGCAGGAATATTGCATTCAAATCACCCCTGACAAATGGCCATCCAGCCTCTGCTTAAAAGCTTCCAAAGAAGGAGCCTCCACCACACTCCGGGGCAGAGAGTTCCACTGCTGAACGGCTCTCACAGTCAGGAAGTTCTTCCTAATGTTCAGATGGAACCTCCTCTCTTGTAGTTTGAAGCCATTGTTCCGCGTCCTAGTCTCCAAGGAAGCAGAAAACAAGCTTGCTCCCTCCTCCCTGTGGCTTCCTCTCACATATTTATACATGGCTATCATATCTCCTCTCAGCCTTCTCTTCTTCCGGCTAAACATGCCCAGTTCCCTAAGCCGCTCCTCATAGGGCTTGTTCTCCAGACCCTTGATCATTTTAGTCGCCCTCCTCTGGACACATTCCAGCTTGTCAATATCTCTCTTGAATTGTGGTGCCCAGAATTGGACACAATATTCCAGGTGTGGTCTAACCAAAGCAGATAGAGGGGTAGCATTACTTCCCTAGATCTAGACACTATGCTCCTATTGATGCAGGCCAAAATCCCATTGGCTTTTTTTGCCGCCACATCACATTGTTGGCTCATGTTTAACTTGTTGTCCACGAGGACTCCAAGATCTTTTTCACACATACTGCTCTCGAGCCAGGCGTCACCCATTCTGTATCTTTGCATTTCATTTTTTCTGCCAAAGTGGAGTATCTTGCATTTGTCACTGTCGAACTTCATTTTGTTAGTTTTGGCCCATCTCTCTAATCTGTCAAGATAGTTTTGAATTCTGCTCCTGTCCTCTGGACTATTGGCTATCCCTCCCAATTTGGTGTCGTCTGCAAACTTGATGATCCTGCCTTCTAGCCCTTCATCTAAGTCATTAATAAAGATGTTGAACAGGACCGGGCCCAGGACGGAACCCTGCGGCACTCCCTTGTCACTTCTTTCCAGGATGAAGAGGAAGCATTGGTGAGCACCCTCTGGGTTCGTCCATTTTACCAATTCCAGATCCACCTCACCGTAGTTTTGCCTAGCCCACATTGGACTAGTTTCCTTGCCAGAAGGTCATGGGGGACCTTGTCGAAGGCCTTACTGAAATCCAGGTACGCTACATCCACGGCATTCCCGCATCTACCCAGCTTGTAACTCTATTGAAAAAAGAGATCAGATTAGTCTGGCATGACTTGTTTTTGATAAATCCATGTTGACTATTAGCGATGACCGCATTTGTTTCTAAGTGTTTGCAGACCACTTCCTTAACAATCTTTTCCAGAATCTTGCCTGGTATCGACATGAGGCTGACCGGATGGTAATTGTTTGGGTCATCCTTTTTTCCCTTCTTGAAGATTGGGACCACATTGGCCCTCCTCCAATCTGCTGGAACTTCTCCCGTTCTCCAAGAACTCTCAAAGATGGTTGCCAATGGTTCCGAAATGACTTCCGCTAGTTCCTTCAATACTCTGGGGTGTAGTTGATCTAGCCCTGGGGACTTGAACTCGTTAAGAGCGGCCAGGTATTCCTGGATGACTTCTTTCCCAATTTGGGGTTGGATGTCCTCCAATCCCTCACCCACTCCATCTTGCTGAGGTTGAAGACTCTCTTTTTGTGAGAAGACCGAGGCAAAGAAGGCATTAAGTAGTTCTGCCTTTTCCCTATCCCCTGTCAGCATTGCCCCATCTTCTCCTCGAAGAGGTCCTATCGCCTCCTTGTTTTTCCTTTTTCTATTGACATAAGAATAGAAGCCCTTTTTATTGTTTTTAATGTCCCTGGCAAGTCTGAGCTCGTTTTTTGCTTTAGCCTTGCGGACCTTTTCCCTACAGGTGTTGGCTATTTGTTTGAATTCTTCTTTGGTGATTTCTCCCTTTTTCCTCTTCTTGTGCATGTCTCTTTTGTGTCTTAGCACAGTTAGAAGTTCTTTGGACATCCATTCTGGCTTCTTTGCACTTGTCCTATTTTTTCTCTTTGTTGGCACGGTTTGCAATTGCGCCTTGAGTATTTCACTCTTGAGAAATTCCCATCCATCCGTAACTCCCTTGTCTTTTAGTATCTGTGTCCACGGAATGCTGCTCAGCGTTTCCTTCATTTTTTGGAAATCAGCTCTCCTAAAGTCCAAAATGCGGGTTTGACTTGTCTTAGTTTCGGCCTTCCTTTGTACCTCAAATTGCAGGAGCACATGGTCACTTGCCCCTAAGGATCCTACCACTTCGACCGCATCGATCAGGTCCTCCGCATTTGTTAGGATGAGATCAAAAGTAGCCAATCCCCTTGTTGCCTCTTCTACCTTCTGGACCATGAAATTGTCTGCAAGGCAAGCGAGGAATTTGTTGGACCTTGTACTCTTGGCCGAGTTTGTTTTCCAGCAAATATCGGGATAGTTGAAATCGCCCATGCCTATACATCTCTTCTCTGTGCCTGTTTGGTCAACTGTTGGCAGAAGACTTCATCAAGTTCTTCCTCCTGGCTTGGGGGTCTGTAGTAGACGCCTACAACGACATCTTTTTGAGTCCCAGTTCCCTTGATTCTTATCCAGATGATTTCAAGCTGGTTTCCCAGATTGCTGTCTTGAATCTCTTCTGCAGCATAAGAGTTTTTGACATATAAGGCTACTCCGCCTCCTCTCCCCTTTGTTCGGTTTCTGTGAAAGAGGTTATACCCCTCGATATCTACATTCCAGCGATAGGAGTCATCCCACCAGGTTTCAGTGATCCCTATGATATCATATTTGTGGTGTTGTGCTAAAAGTTGGAGTTCGTCTTGTTTATTTCCCATGCTCTGTGCATTAGTGTAAAGACATGTGAGCCCCTGAGATCTTCCCTTGAGCTGTTTAATTGGGATTATTGTGCTTTTGGTACTTGGTCCTTGTTGTGTTTGTGCAGCCCTCCGTTTAGCCTTCTGGCGATTCCCAGACATTATGGGTAAAGTAGTGTTCGCAAGGCTGTTGTCCCCCTCCCCCGGTGGACCTAGTTTAAAGTGCGTCTAATGAGGTTTGCGAGTCTGTGAGCAAAAAGGTGTTTTCCTACTTGTGTGAGATGCACCCCATCCCTTGCCAGTAGGCCATCCTCCTGGAAAAGCAGGCCATGGTCGAGGAAGCCAAAGCGTTTCTCCTGACACCATTTTCTAAGCCAGTCATTGACCTGTACTATTTTTCTGGCTCTTGTGGGTCCGTGTCTTACAACAGGGAGGAGGGATGAAAAGACCACCTGTACATTACATTCTTTTAGCTTTGCTCCTAGAGCTCGAAAATCATTTGTGATCTTTTGAAACGTATGCCTTGCAGTATCATTGGTTCCTACATGAATCAACATGAGGGGAGGACGGTGATAGGGCTTGAGGAGCCTGGTGAACCTCTGAGTGATATGGTGTATTTCAGTGTTGTCACCTCTGAAATGCAATACAGCTGTTTTGGTTCACCCTTGACACAATAAATAAATAACCTCTGAAATGTTTCCTTGAATTATGGGCAAAGAACCACAAATATATTTCCATGTAAAGTAAATTGGAAGAGGGAATTCATTCACAATGCTATGCATTTTGTTACAAACAATATCTTCAGAGGTATTGCAAAATCAAACATAGAAGTATGCTATATATAATTTGGACTGCATGTTTTATAAGTAAGACTGATTCTGTTGCTTCATTCACCACTCAGTGATTTTATTGTTTCCAGGGACTGCTTGCTTTGGAAGGAGAACTCACACCTATCCTTGTCCAGATGGTCAAAAGTGCTAATATGAATGGCCTACTTGATAGTGATAGTGACTCTCTTAGTAGCTGCCAACATCGTGTGAAGGCACGCCTTAATGAAATACTTCAGAGAGATAGAGACTTCACCCCTGAAGACTTTGAAAAGGTTAGAGCATTCCAACTACAAAGTGGGGCTAAGGGGATCAATTGGCATTTGAAGTTCCTTTAGGAAATAAAGGTCTTTTAAAAATTTAAAGAAATGTTCAGGATTTTTGGAATAAATTGAATATGCTAACATTGTGGGGTTTTTTTTTTAATGTACAGCAGTGGTCAAAGCTTGTCTGAATACAGACATGATATCTGAAAAGAACGGAAAAATATTTATTCAACATTTTGAACTGTCCCAAAAATGTGTATATAGAATTTATTCCAGGAATTGAAAAGTTCATTTGATCTAAATGCTAGGCTTGTTCATGTCCCGACTCCTACTCCAAGGTTCGGCACATGTTGCTATGCACCAAAAGCAGATTACATCACTGAATTTTGGCTAAAAAACAAAAAAGCTTTTAAGCAGGAAATGTTTGTTTTAAAGGGTTTCTACCAGTGCATCCAATGTAGGCAACTTGACTGAAGTGGGAAGGAGAGGCCAAAACGCTCAGTGTGGCCCACTGGCTCTGTGTAGCCCCCTCCTTACTTAGTTAGTTTCAGTAACCAGCATAACTAATTAAGAGCTCAAAATTACTTCAACTTTGTCCACATTATACTTATGGTTAGGATTTCAAAGTTACAAGTAAAACAATACAAAGGGATAATTTAGATCAATGTGTAATTGTTAATGTGTGTTTGCCATGCTGCTATACCATTATTTTGGTTCTGCAAGTACTTTTTAATACACTAGATCTTAAGTAATTTGAGTTGGTTTTCCATTTTTTAAGTTTAGCAGTGCTTTGGTCATTGGGTAACTAGCACAATAGAGTTTAATATATCTCTTATAGTTAATATATTTCCTTTTCTCTGGTCCTACAGCTTACACCATCTGGCAGCATTTCTCTAATAAAATCAATGCAAATAATAAAAAATCCCATTAAGACATGTGACAAGGTATATTCCTTGATTCAGAGTTTGACGACTCAGATCAGACAAAAGATGGAAGATCCTAAATTTGCAGGTAAAGCATCTTCTAATCAAATTATAATGTCAGTGCTAACTTTACCCGTAAGTATTTGTACTGGCTTATATTTTGGTCCTGTACAGTTTAATATAAATTCAAATATATAAGGCAAAGATAAAGTATGTCTATGCAGTTTATTCTGCCACAGATTAATTTGTAGAAGGGCGAGGCTGTTATGACAAGAAACATACATGAAACAGACGTTAACTAGATTATGCCTTCAAGTTCTCATGTTGCATATACTTTAATGTGTGCTTTGATCTTATTTCAATCTATTTGATTACTTTTGGTTATTATTTCTTTATTATATAATTGTTTTTCCATATAGATATTCAACTTTACCACAGTGAAACATTGGATTTAATGCTACGTAGGTGGGCCAAGCTTGAAAAAGACTTTAAAACAAAGAATGGAAGATATGACATTAGTAAAATTCCAGATATCTATGATTGTATAAAATACGATGTGCAGCATAACGTCTCCTTAAAATTAGGAAATACGATGGAACTATACAGACTGTCAAAAGCATTGGCAGATATTGTGATACCACAGGTATTTAATTTCAATCCTATATAAAAAGTGTTCTTATTGCAATTATTTTGAGCCCAGTGTGTTGGTCCATTAATAAATTTCTGTTAATTATTAGCATGCCCTGAAGAAAAGTGTCTCTTGTTTGTGCTCCTTCTTAAATTAAATAGAGGATAACTAATAATTTTATACATGATACATCTTTAGTAGACATTGGGTGGAATCCAACAATACAATCCTGTTCTTAACTACTTACAAGTGAAGTGAGTTTACTGAGACTTACTCCCTGGTAAATAGTTTTAGGATTTCAATCTAAAATTTGAATTTTAAAGCACTATGGTGGCCCTCTGGTGGCTCAGTGGGTTAAACTGCCAAACTTGCTGACCAAAAGATGAGCTCCTGCTGTTAGGCCCATCTTCTCCCAACCTAGTAGTTTGAAAATATGTAAATGTGAGTAGATCAATAGGTACCGCCTTGGCGGGCAGGTAATGGTGCTCCATGCAGTGATGCCTCCACATGACCTAGGAGGCATCTATGGACAATGCCAGCTCTTCAGCTTAGAAATGGAGATAAGCACCATCCCCAGAGTCAGACACAACCAGACTTAATGTCAGGGGAAACCTTTACCTTTATGCCTGCATAATTGTTCCAGCATAGGTAATGACAGGAAGAGGAAGATGACCACAGGTACAACAGCTATGAAAGGAATGAAGGCATTTGAGAAATACATATTCACAACTGTTATTTATCTTGCCTTGCCATGGCAATCACATGACCATGAAAATATGCCATCATTAGTTAAGTGTGCTAGTAGGATGGTTACTTGCATATTGATATTTAAAAATTAGTGGGACAGGTTGATCATGGTTAAAACATATTGATTAATTTTGGGTCTGTGTTGCAATTAGAAAGTGTTCTTGCTCAGAGTTGCCATTACACTTTCTTCCCACGTTTTCCTGCTCCTCCCAAAGCAGCATAGTGTCTGTTAAATAGACAGTTTAATTACAATAATAATAAAAATAAACTTTATTTATACCCCGCCACCATCTCCCCGAAGGGATTCAGGCGGCACACAAAAAGCACAACAATAATGTCGCAACAAAACAGTATTCATTTACATAAACAACATACATTTGCATAAAACAGTATGGTTGTGATTGATCCTTTAGCCTTCCTGAGAATGAAAGGTTCATATTTAAGATGTACGGTCATTCTAGGAACTGGATGACAGATTCTGAAAAATAACATATTAATCAAACTGTGGCTGCACTTTTAACAAAAGTGTGTGTGTGGGGGGGGGGGATATCTGTGCTTTCTAATTTTTGAACTTGAATTTCAGTGCTTTTAATGAATTCACCATGCAAGGCTATGTTGCAAAAATGAAGGAGGGAAATAAGAGAGCAAAGAGTAGAACCATTTAGTATTTTGATATCTTGCTTTGATTAGCTGGCACACCCTTCCTAGAATGATCACTGAATGTATCAACCTCTCTTTCCTTTCAAAAGTTAGAAATGAAAATAATTGAAATTGGTAGAACATTAATAGAAATGAATGTTTGACTCATACAATATATTTATTTATTTATTTATTTATTTATTTATTTAAAACATTTATATTCCGCCCTTCTCACCCCGAAAAGGACTCAGGGTGGAGCACCACATATATCCAGCAAACATTCATTGCCAGAACATAAAATAAACTATAAACATACATAAACACTAAAATCAATTATCGGCATGTTAAAACCAACTGTTTTAAACCATCTCAAATTATCCATATCGAATCTGGCTGGCAAGGTAGTTTCCTATTGTTGCCTTCTTGCACTGTCCCAAAGACTTGGACCTACTTGGACCAAGTTTTTACCATCTTTTTGAAGGACAGGAGGGAGGGCTGATCTAATCTCAACAGGGAGGAAGTTCCATAGCCAAGGGGCAATCACTAAAAAGGCCCTTTCTCGTCCCCGCTAATTGCACCTGTGACGGTGGCTGGACCGAGAGCAGAGCTTCCACAGAAGATCGTAATCTCCGTCGTGGTTCATAGAGGGAGATGTGTTTTATTTATATGTGAATAAAATGCAAGAACTACAGTTAATATAACATGTTTCCCACAGTGGCAAGCCTCATGTGCGTGAGGAAGCCCAGAAACAGGAGGTGAGGGCAGTAGTTTCTCCTGCCATTGTTTGCCAGTCACTTGAGTTCAGAGGCATGGTGCTTTTGATCCTTAAAAATCCATTATGTTAAATAGTATTAAAACTACTAGATATAGCATTACATTTAAGCCTTTACATTTGCTGGATCCTTGTGAATGTGGGAAAAATGTGAATTTAAAAAACCATTTTTAGGGGGGGAAATGTCAAAACATATCTCTAGGCCAGTGTTTCTCAACCTTCCTAACGCTTTGACCCCTTAATACAGTTCCTCACGTTGCGGTGACCCCCATTATTTTCATTGTTACTTCATAATGGTAATGTTGATAGCGTTATTAATTGTAATGTAAATATCTGATATACGGGATCTATTTTCATTCACTGGACCAAATTTGGCACAAATACCCGATACCCTCAAATTTAAATATTTGTGGGGTGGGGGAGGATTGATTTTGTCATTTAGGAGTTGTAGTTGCTGGTATTTATAGTTCACCTACAATCAAAGAGCATTCTGAACTTCACCAGCAATAGAATTGAATCAGTCTGTGCACACAGAACTCCCATTATCAACAGAAAATACTGGAAGGGTTTGGTGGCCATTGACCTTGAGTTTTGGAGTTGTTGTTCACCTACATCCAGAGAGCACTGTGGACTCAAACAATGATGGATCTGGACCAAACTTGGCACGAATACTCAAATGTGAACACTAGTGGAGTTTGGGGAAAATAGATCTTGACATTTGGGAGTTGTTGTTGGGATTTATAGTTCACATGCAATCAAAGAGCATTCCGAACCTCACCAACGATAGTTTGGGCCAAACTTCCCACACAGAACCCCCATGACCAACAGAAAATACTGTGTTTTCTGATGATCTTTGATGACTCCTCTGCCACTTCCTCATGACTCCCATAGGGGTCCTGACCCCCAGGTTGAAAAACATTGCTCTAGGCCTTGCAGCTTGACTTTATGGCCAGTTTCCACTGGAAGTGTTGGATGACTTACAGATGTCTAGAGGAGTGTTGTCTCCAGGACATCCAGCACAACTCTGTGGTCAATGTCCAGTAGAAGTTGACTGTAGAGTTAAACTGGAGGTCAGAGATTATGAAAGATAACATATTAATCAAATTTGTGAACAGTCAAATCTGCAAAAGTGAAACCCACAAATGTGGAGGGCTGACTGTATGTCTATATTTTAACTAATAGCCATTTGTAGCCTTATGCTTTCTTAATTGTTTTAACAGCATTAAAATGCACCTGAGTAGTGGAACAATACCACATTATTTAGTAGTAGATTCTTTGTACCGATTCAGTACTTCTTTAATCATTCATTTTCAGACATTCCATCTCACCCAGTTTATATCTATTCACTGCTCAGTTAGCTATGTGATTTTATTTTTGCAATGGTGTTCCCACTTAGGGTTTTTATTTTATAAAGATTAGTTATCTCACATCTACTGATATTACTATCTTGTGTTTAGTTGGTACAGTTATGTGTAAGTGCAATAAATATTGTGTTAGAAATAGAGGAAGTGATGACGTCTTAATCCTAAATTGAGGATAGTAAAAATAAGAGAATGGATGATGGAAATGAAATCATGACACTGTCAGAACTAGTCAGATTATTTAACATTAGAATATTTGAAATTTAAGCACTCCCTTATGTGTTGATAGATTACAGTATTCAAGCTTCAGATATAATTGTACAGTTGTATACCTATGATGTAGTACATATATTTCTGAGACTTGTTCTACATCAGTGCCTCTGAAGAAGTAATTCACAAACTTCATGCTAAAATACTTGAATTAGTCTTAGCCAGAAAATTCATTTTTAAACATTTTTCCTACTAACTAACAGACTAACATAATCATCTAAAAAAAAAAGACCCCAAAATAGCTTTGCTGAGTTGAGAAGTAATTTCTGGTATTAAATATAGTTTGTTTTCTGTTTATCAAGGAATATGGTATTACTGAAGCTGAAAAACTAGAGATTGCTAAAGGTTACTGCAATCCACTATTGAGAAAAATCCGGTCTGATCTTCAGAGAACTCAAGATGATGACACTGTTAATAAGCTTCATCCTTTGTAAGTTTCTTTTTATTGGAGAATTTGATAATGGTAATTTCTAATCGCAGTTCAGCTAAATCTGCAGTATAATTATGATAGACTTATTCCAAGGACACTTACAAAATGGCCGGAATGTACCAAATATAGGTGAAGGCACTGGGGAATAATGACTTAGATCAGTGGTTCTCAACCTGTGGGTCCCCAGATGTTTTAACCTTCAACTCCCAGAAATCCTAACAGCTGGTAAACTGGCTGGAATTTCTGGGAATTGTAGGCCAAAACACCTGGGGACCCACAGGTTGAGAACCACTGACTTAGATGAAGGGTTAGAAGGCATGATAATCAAATTTGCAGACAATACCAAATTGGGAGGGATAGCCAATACTCCAGAAGACGGGAGCAGAATTCAAAACAATCTTAACAGATTAGAGTGATAGGCCAAAACTAACAGAATGAAGTTCAACAGAAACAAATGCAAGATACTTCACTTAGGCAGAAAAAATGAAATTCAAAAACACAGAATGGGGTATGAATTGCTCAACAGCAGTACATGTGAAAAAGATCTTGGAGTCCTTGTGGACAAGAAGTTAAACATAAGCCAAAAATGTCATGCGGCTGCTAAAAAAGCCAATGGGATTTTGGCCTGCATAAATAGGAGTATAGTGTTGAGATCCAGGGAAGTCATGCTACCCCTCTATTCTGCCCTGGTCAGACCACACCTGGAATACTGTGTCCAGTTCTGGGCACTGTAATTGAAGAGAGATGTTGACAATCTGGAATGTGTCCAGAGGAGGGCAACTATATGACCAAGGGTCTGGAGAAGAAAGCCCTATGAGGAGCGCTTAAAGATCTGGGCATGTTGAGTCTGAAGAAGAAAAGACTGAGAGGAGACATGATAGCCACGTATAAATATGTGAGGGGAAGTCACGGGGGGGGGGGGGGGCAGGCTTGTTTCCTGCTGCCCTGGAGACCAGGACGTGGAGCAATGGCTTCAAAACTACAGGAAAGGAGATTCCACCGGAACATTAGGAAGAACTTCTTCTTAACTGTGAGAGCTATTCGCCACTAGAATTCTCTGCCCCAGAGTGTGGTGGAGGCTCCTTTTTTGGAGGCCGAATAACCATCTGTCAGGGGTGCTTTGAGCGCGATTTTCTTGCTTCTTGACAGGGAGTTGGACTGGATGGCGCACGAGGTCTCTTCCAACTCTAGCATCCTATAATTCTAAGTCCACTTTTTTCTTTAATCTTTCAGCCCCAGATCTCTTGCTATTTTTAAACTGTTGTGAGTGATTTAAAATGTGTGTGTGGCTTCCTTTTCTTTTTCTTCATTTATTTGTTTTTAAGGAAACTCACTGAATTACATGAGCAGTATTTTAGAGGGAAAGGGTGCAAAGCAAGGCTCTACTCTAGCAAAGGCAGAAGTGCTCATGAGGATGAGTTTAAAAAACCAAAATGCTGGTAGAAAATAAGTTTAAAATACTTAACAGGAGATTAGAAAGGGAGAGCATGGTCCTTTCTAATCTATACTAAAAGAATTAAGATGGGAGACAGACATATTAAAACATGTTCTCCTTCACAGGGTGATAGAACAGAGAGGTGGAGATCTTGAAAAATAAAGAGAAAGTTCATCCTGGATTAGTTTCTTTTCTTTACAACAGAAAGAAATCAATTAACCCATACAATGTTATCTGCCCTTAATGCTTTGGGATAGATTACTAGCAGAGAAAGCAAAAGGTAAACTTCCTGATCTCACTGTGTCTAATCCAGGCCTGCATGACCTGTGAACATCCAAGTGTTTGGGACTCCAATTCCCAGAAGTCCTAGCTAGCTTGGCAATGGTCAGAAGGTCTGGGAGCAGAAGTCCAAAACACCTGGAGGGTCATTGGTTGTGCAGGTCTGGTCTAAGCCATCCCATCCCTGCTGGATGAGGGAGAAGCAATAATAAGTGCAGAAAAGTGAGAATTGGGGATACGTTTATTTTATTGTGACTCTTAATATTTTTAAGCATTAGGTGTGGCAAGTTCAGATGTTGACATAGCTACAATCAAATCTAGCATGTCCTAAAATATTTGGTAAACATCATTTAAAAATCCACAATGGATTGAGCATTAGACTATGTCTCAGGAGACTAGAGTTTGAATCCCCACTCATCTGGAGATTGGGTGAACTTGTGCAAGTTATTTTCTCTCTGCTTTAGGGAAAGGCAAAGGCAAGCCCATTCTGAACAAATCCTTCCAAGACAACCCCATGATAAGTTCAACTCGGGTTTGTCATAAGTTGAAAGCACCTTGAAGACACAACAACAACAGCAACAACAACAAAACAGTTATAAACAGCAGTGGAGGAGGAATGTAAAAAAGAGAATTTAAAACAGGTTTTTTGTTACTCTACATAGCTATCTGAAAATTGCCAGACATATATTTGTCCAGTATCCAGATAGTCTGTGCCCAGTTCTTACCAGGGTTTATTGAGATTTACAATGTTTAGGCTTAATAATAGTGGAAAGCAGTTTGTTTTATTTTGTACGTATATAATAGCTGTACCTTCATTTGCTTATTCTTTATTTTCTTTTTAGGTATTCTAGTGGAGTTATGTCTCCCGAACGACACGTCCGAACCCGTCTGTACTTCACTAGTGAGAGTCATGTTCATTCCTTGTTATCAACTCTTCGTTATGGTTCTTTATGTGATGTAAGTGTTACCTTCTTCAGATTGTTTACGTTGAATTTTTAGATACAGTAGTCTTTTATAGCAAATTCAAAATATCACTCCTTTGAAAGTGAGTGTCATGAACTTTTATTACTACAAATTGTATTGGAGAATATTTTGTGTTAATTCTTGGAAGTTTTGAAGAACCATAGTTTTTGCTAACTGTAGCTCAATTTTGTATAATTTGGCTTTTTTTTTTCCTATGACTTGACTTAGAAATTGTTATCTTTTTGTGATTGACCAGCACATCATTGTTCAAAATATTTATTTAATGGTAGCCGTGTTAATGGAACTTACTCCCACTGCATATATATCGGATTGCAACCTAAGAGTTAAAGGTGTGTAATTGCTGAGCATATGATGTTCTTTTAATCTTAGGCGTCAAAGGATGAACAGTGGAAACGAGCAATGGATTATCTCAATGTTGTTAGTGAACTCAATTACATGACCCAGATTGTTATCATGCTGTATGAAGACCCAAACAAGGTAAGAAAGTAATATATAAATAGGAAAATTATTAATATTTTTTTCAGAAGTCAGCATATCACTATATTAACTTAATATATACTACCTTGTTATTCCTGTTAGGAGCCTTCTTCGGAAGAACGTTTTCATGTGGAATTACACTTTAGTCCTGGAGCTAAAGGTTGTGAAGAAGATAAAAATTTGCCATCAGGATTTGGATATAGACCTGCCTCACGAGAGGTAAATACTACTAGAAATGTTTCTTACATACAAGAAATTTAAGTGTCATTTTGTATATTATTTCATAGCAGTTGACTATCTCATATGTAATTGTACTTTTTCTAAAGCTTAGAAACGTTTTTCCCTTTTGCCACTATAACTCTCAGAATCCCTCAGCCAGTACAGCCAATGACCATGTTTGCTGTGAGAGAGTCTAGAACAGTGGTTCTCAACCTGGAGGTCCCCAGGTGTTTTGGCCTACAACTCCCAGAAATCTCAGCCAGTTTAGCAGCTGTTAGGATTTCTGGGAGTTAAAGGCCAAAACCGCTGTGAACACACAAGTTGAGAACCACTGGTCTAGAAGCAATAGTCCAGAAAAATAGATTTTTTCAAGCTCTGACATTTTATTTATATTTTCTAACAATAACTTCTGGTAGTTATAAAGGCAAATATCTGCCTTTTTTAAAGGCAGTGTTATTTCGAAAATATTTGTTACTCTATTGAAATTTCAAAAATGGCTGTAAAAATATATCTAAAGAAGCCACTCTAATAAGTACATGGACTGATAATTAACTGGAATAAGATAATGAGGTTTTATGTAGTATTATGATACCCTAGGTCGCATATTATATGAAATAATTAAGTGTTTTCAAACATATATACAATTTAGTATGTAAGCTACATTTGTAAAAATGAGTGTAGGAGTAATACAAAGTTGGCTGTAGAATTAATACTTTTTGATCAAGTGAGAAGTGTTGTACTTACTCTTCATTCTTTTATTTCTGAGGTTTCACTGAAACATATACTTTTTAATTTTCAAACAGCCTCTACTGTTCAAAGATCCCATTGTGTGGAGGATAATAAGGATACAGTCCCTAATATTGTTAAAAAGTGATAAGTTCCATTTTATGTGCCATGTGATTTATCTCTTTCTTTAAAGAATGATGGCTCAAGGAAATCCTCCCTTAGAAATGACAGCGATGAAGAATTGCTTGCCCACCACAAAAGGGATGAACCAGATCGATCTATAATGCTGTTCAAGCCAATGGTTTCAGATCCAATTCATATACACAGAAAGTCTCCACTTCCAAGATCCAGGAAAATTGGTTCAGTGGAAGTAAGTTATACTGTTCTAGTGCTTCATCTGTGATAGAAAGAATCCACCCAAATGCATGGTAAAGTATGTAGTAGCAGGCTTTAACACTGCTCCAAACACTTCTGTAAATTAATAATCATTAATATGTTAGTAAGTTCTAGAAAAGTTTGATCTTTCATAACTAACCTACATTGCTTGCATACACAGTTTTACAAGATGTAATGTACAAGAAATGAAACACTTCTATATTTTGTCTTTTACAATCATGTTATATTTTTATTTACTTTCATTTTCACCTAGTGTAAACATTTGTAGTGATACATGCTGAAAGATAAGAAAGTATAACAGCAATAAATAAATGCTGGAATATAAGAAATTATAAAAAAAACCATTGATTTTCCTCAAATCATAAATATAGATATTCTGATTTATATAGATATTCTGACTGAATCCTCCCCCATTCTGGAGCAGATGACTAGAGTCCTTTGGCCCTTTATTTCACAATCTTCCAAGATACAGAAGAATTTCCAAAGATAGTATGTCACAGGGATGAAATATAAAATAAATAGTACAGTAAGTTTTATATCTCATTCCTGTCTGATTCCCCCCCCCCCCCCTTGATGAGACAAGTACTATGATAAAAAAAATTCCAGGGCATTTGGACAATGTGATATAATTGATAGAATTTCTATACTACTTGACTTTTTAAAATTAGAGCAAAGACTAAAATGCAAACAAAAACTACTTTAGGTAGCTTCATATGTTTGCACACATCCGGTTGACTTGATATTTTTGAGGTTTTTGTTGAAGCAAAGACCTTGCAAGGAATCATCAATTCCATAAAACTTCCTAGAGTTTTTAAAAAAGTGGGGTTTCTATCTACTGCACACAGTCACACATCTAAAAGCCCAAGCACTTAATTTATTGTGAGACATTTGAATTGTGGCTGAAATGTACCAGTAATTTGCCTACAGTTATTATTTAATATTAGAAGAAGAAAACTATTGCATAATATAATTCTTCAGAATTTTGAAATCTAGGTTTCCTGGATTTCTTTACCTTGTGCCAAGAAAAGATAGGATAGACTCACACATACAAGACGGTGGCATGGCTTTGGCCAGATGACATTTGAGCATCTTGGCCATTGCTACATTGTAGCCAATTATTCCAACCCTCTCTGTCGTCTTTCCTACACTTTTTTGCCTTGTGAGGCAGGCTAACATAAATGCTTCTTGGCAGGGGGTTGAACCGGATGGCCCTCTTCCAACTCTATGATTCTATGAACTTAAGGAAAGACTTCCCTTGACTAATGCCAGGCCGTGAAAAGATGTATCAGAAATGTTCTGCATTCGTCCCTGACTTTATATTGACAAGTTATAGTTATGGCTTTCTTATTTTGTTATCTTTTTTGCCCCATACTTTCCATGGCAAGAACAAATATAGCTTATTAACCGACGATAACTTACTGATTTAATGTGTATATTTCTGTAGTAATATAAAGCGTTTTGAAATTTAAACCCAGAAGCACAAGTCTAAGTTCAATTGCTAGTAGTTAGACTCAGTGGTATTTACTTAAGTGCAAACTTATCCAGTAGATGTACTGTAGGTGGAATTATCAGTTGAATTTAAGTCCTGCATTTTTTGAATGAGGTGATAGACAAATATTCTGAAAAAGTTTGTTTTTTGTTCCAGGATGCAAGATGCCCATGTAGTATATTCCCCTTTATCCTTTGAACTTTTTTTTTACTTCTACATAAGAATTCTGAGATTTTGTGATGGTTGTAGCAGTTCTATATCAGTAATAACCCTGTTTCATTGGTTAGAAATTTAAAGATGGAGAGATCTAGAAATCATAAATTATTAATGACATTAAAATCTTCCCAAGAAACTAAAGAGAACTGGGAAACCTCTGCTCCATTAATTCCCCCAATGCAGTCTGCAAGGAATTCAGGGTAGTTAAAATACTGAAGGGATGTTGTCAGATTCTTCCTGGTTCAAACTGAAATTTCTCTTTGAAGAGAGGTGAATATTTAAATGCTAGAAAACAAGTTAAATCAAATAATCTTAAAAAATCAAGGCTGTTATTGAACATAACTTTGTTTCAATTAATTCCTGATTTGGTTGCTTCTGTTCTTGCTCTTGGCTACAGATACTCATCAATGATAATTTTGGTGGTTTCCAAAAAATAGATTGAAATGTTATCAAATAATAGATTGATTCTTGGTTTGGTTCTTTTGGCTGATTATAGAATTTAAGAAATGAGACACAGTAATTGAGCAGAGGGTAGTTGTGATATCCAGATACAGGAAAGGACTAAATTTTGCTGGTGTGTTGTGTTCAAAAAAGTTCAGAGGCTTTGTCTTTAATGAGAAATCTTTTTTAGTATCACCAGAATTCAGTTACATAATATACACTTAGTTGTCTAGTTGTTTAATAGTTGAGGTATATGAAGAGTGAAGAAGAATGCAGCAAAGTTAGGAAGAAAAACTGCACATGCATGAGCTTTAGTGTAGTTTGTAAAATTATAGTTCTGTGGAAGTATGTCTAGTGAAAATAGTAGCTGAGTACTGAGTTGTGATGTGTAGTTTGTATTATGGAATATGTTATGCACTGCTGTTGAATACTGGTAGCACTATTTAGAAAAGGGTGCAAACAAAACTGTATATATTTTCTTACCATTTGGCTATGAATCTAACGTTGCATGCTTTGCTGTTTTTTTGCCCCCTTTCTCACTTCCAGGAAGAGAGCCCCCTGAGTGTGTCTAGCCCAGAGTGTATTGGTACCTGGCTGCATTACACCAGTGGTGTGGGTACTGGGCGTCGAAGACGCAGATCAGGGGAACAAATCACTTCTTCCCCTGTCTCCCCTAAATCATTGGCTTTCACATCCAGTATTTTTGGCTCATGGCAACAGGTTTTTAAACTTTACTTCATTCAACATTACTATGCATTCCAAACAGGAACCAAATGTCTTTAAGGACATCTAATCCCTTGTTCTGGATTTTGTTGAAAGTAAATTATTTCTCTAATCATGAAAATGCAATTACAAAAAAAGAAATGTTACTTCCAAGAATGCTTGGGGGGGAAAAAAGCAAGTGCATGTGTATATTTTTTTCTTTTTCTTTTTTCCACAATTTCCACTCAATGTATTCAATGGTTGATTTTTGAATTGGTTTCTTTTCAGCACTGTATAGATGAATATAGTTAGTTCCCTCATTAAAAAGATATCAGCTTTGGCTTAGTTGTCCTTTAAGACTTTTTTCCTTTTTGAAAAAAACAACACTGAGTAATTTGGTGGTAGGTACATTAAAATGATTCTTTTATATATGAATCAAAACGCCTTTTGAAATAATTGGATTGGGGTCCAGGACGTGTATTCCATATCTGAGCATAAATAATATTTTCAGTGGCTATTAACTGTGCAGGAAAAAAAATCATAAGTACTAATCATTATTTCCTCTGTTACTTAACTTGAGGCATCCTATTTTTCTTACTTATTTGTGAAAGACAGTATGTCATCCATTGTAAAATATGCTATTTTGACTGTAAAGTGTTAGGACAATTTAGGAAACACATGTGAAGAATTGGAACATCCATTTTAATTTTTTACAGTGGATGTTGTTCTGTTACCAGAGAGCCTTTCTTCTTTTCAGAAGGGTATATTATTTCCATTTCTTCCCGGACCTACAAAGAACTTGGGTGTAGAAAAAGATTATTAGTAACTGAATATCACAAGTGTACCATGATAGAGCCTGTGCATGGATCAGTGACTGTATAGTGACCTCATCGGCCTGTCTGTGTTTCCTCTTTTTTTCCTCCCTTCCAATACAGGCGCAGTTTAGGAGTGTTCATTTGGTAAACTAAAGTGACACAGTTTTCTGTGTTTTCATATTTTTCTTGGTGTCTGTCCTGTTTCGTCATGAATGCCTGCTTGCACCACTTCATTGCAAGGATCTCATAAGTAAAATGGATTCCCTTCAGCAATTCTGCATGATCTTCCATATTATTTTGGTATTTCTACTAACACATCATGTGGCTTATTAATACTTAACTGTCTTAAAGCAGGCTGCTGTTTCGAGCTTAATGGATTCTACAAGGCCACCAGTCTATTTTTTTGTCCTTATTATCTGTTTCTCATGTCCAGGTTCCACCAGAAAACAACAGTTACTTCCGACCACCAAGAACTATTGTGGAGCAAAAGACTAGCACAATAGGTATGTATAAACTTTCTAGAAATTGGTTGTTTCAAAATATACCTATAAGTAGATATTGACACAAGATTTTATGCTGACAACTTTGCAGATCTTTGAGATGTCACCACTGCTGCTTAGATTATGCATTACAGGAATGTTAAAACAAAACAATATTATTATTGCCATGATTTTCCACTTGAACTAAAGGCCACATTCATATTTTGATAAGTTCATAAGGATCATTTTAAGATGCTTTATCTCTACGGTTTTTTTTTTCTCATTTCTGAGCTAGAAAAATCTAGAAAGAGATGCTCCTGGGAATAAAAATTGCATTGCTTTCCTTCTTCCCATCTTCATTTAAAAAGCAAGACAGAGGAAAGTTCTTTGCACTACCCCAAATTCCATCAACTACAGCTTTCAATATAATACTCAGCTATTGCTTCATTACAGCAATATATATATATATATATATATATATATATATATATATATATATATAGTTTTATAGTTTTATAGTTTTATAGTTTTATAGTTTTATAGTTTTATAGTTTTATAGTTTTATAGTATGTATTTTAATGGATAGTCTTTGTGTTATGTGTTATATTATTTAACAGGTTGTACCCCAATTTTCAGCCAAAAGGTCCTTCATAATTTGCTTTTATGTAATCAACCAATATCAAACAAAACAATCCTGTCAAGTTTACATTTAAAATAGATAATTGATGAGGAAAGCAGAGAAGTTAGGAAAAGGGACAAAAAGGAAAACGAGACAATAATTTCTGGTGTTATATTCTTACAATGAATGGAATGGACATATCTGAGAATGAGAAAAAGCCCAGTGAAGCCAGTATTCATCAGAATCAATGGAGGGCCTTCTCCTGTGGGCTGGACAGAATGTATACACAGTACCATTATTTTGTTCTCTTAAGTGCAGGTGTTCCCATTTTGGATGAAACTTACAGTGCATTTTAAATTAAAAAAACAATATTAAAAGGAGACTGAAGTTACAATTGTGAATGTTTGTCTGCTAAATTCTGCATTCTTTTCTCATCTGTAGTATGTATCATTCCCAAACAAAATGAATACATCAGATACTCTAGATTTATCTAAGATGTTGTTGTATTCCCTCCCAGTACATAAAGGATGCTAAGGCAATGAACACATGAAAGCAATTAAAATGGTATATAGATAAAAACATTTAAACTCACTTTAAAACATTCAAAAGCAGTCCTAAAACACATTTTTAAAATGGCTTAAACAGAGCAATTTCAAATATTGAAGGCTGTTTTGGCTGACCACCAGAAGCTCAAAAGAGATGGAGCCATCCTAACTTTTGGATATGGATTGCCATAGTCAGGGTGCTGCCACAGAGAAAGCCCAGTTATTATGATCCTTAAACTTCACCAGATGTTGAGACATACAACAGGGCCTCCTTTGAGGATCTCAAATTTTGAGCTGAATCTTATGGAAAGGATATATTCTTTCAGATAGCCAAGCTCCAACTCATTCGTGGTTATGGAGACCAGAACCAGCAACTTGAATTGAGCTCAGGGGGAGCAAGTTGGAATCTGGAGTAGTTCACTCAAGACCATTGTTTTAGGACATCCTAAATGCACACTTGACACCAGTCTGACAGCTACATTTTTCATGAACTGCATCTTCTAAACATTGTTCAAGAGCATCCCCAAATAGAGCATCTTATGTTAATCAAATTAGACCAGTCTGGCTGTCTGTTATACATTACTCCTGCTGAGAACTGATCTGTTTGTATACAACACTGAAACTATTTAGTTCCAAAGCTTTTGTCACATCAAGCACTCATATTTGCTGTTTCTTCAAATGTATTCATAATGTGTTCCTCACTATTGGTCATTGGTGGTTATATCTTAAATTTGCAAGTAGTTTCAAGGTGCAAGAAGAGGAGGAATGTCTCCCAAAGAAGTGCCTTTTAAATTCATTTTACATTAATTGGGAATTGTTCAGGAGTTGCTGCATCCAAAGCAGTCCCTTTCTCAGATTTTATTATATCAATTAGAACATTGTCTCGTATACAGTGGCACTTTCCCGCAGAATCTGTTTCTGTCATCAGTAAAGGGTACCCTCTGCAGCCCCTTTGCATCCTCGATACCTGTGCTTTGAAAAGAAGAACGTCTTAAAACTAGGATTTTTTTAAAAAAAAATCAGTCTTGTTAAAATAAAGGCCAACTTTGCATATTTTCCTATAGGCTCCTTGTCTAATGTTGTGAAAATAATACTATATTTTAGTAACCAGAATATAAATTTAGATATTTGACACATTTTATGGGATATTTTTACACAAGCCACAAGTGGAATCTGTACAGGAAATCTTTCATCATGCCCTGTGAACTTCATTGGAACTTACATGCAGAATGTTGCCCAACACTGCCATTTTCAGAGTCCAGTGTTCATTTATGCAGGTTCAGTTATAAATTCTAAAATATTTAATCTTGTCTTTGTCGCTCTTCCATCACTGTGTCTTTCATTATTCCGATCCGGCATGGGTTTTCTTCCCTCCCTTTGCAAAGCCTGGCAACAAGAAATTAAATCTTAAGAGCTTTCTTTTTGTATGGAGTTAGTCAAAAGAGTTGTAGGGTGTAGAAGTACAATAAATGATAGACTAGATTTCTTCAAGTACCGCTGAAACATTACAAACAGTGTGCATCTGTCCAAGGCAATGCCAGAAACTGCCTTTTGTGTTGTAAGAGTGATATGCTTGCATGCTGCATGCATCCTCAATGTGAATGGAAGAACACCTGGTTGCTGTATGTATTTTCTCTAACTCCCATCAGGGTCTCACTGTGCGAGCCTGTTTAGCACCTCAGTTCTCGGGGGTTCTTCAAGTGCACCTAACCTACAGGATTATGCTCGTACTCATCGTAAAAAGCTGACTTCTTCTGGCTGCATAGATGGTACGTGCACAGTTTCGCACATGCACTTACACACACACACACTCATGCACATAGGTACCTTGAAAGAAAGTGGAGTAGGAGTACTAGAGTAGTATTCATTAGTAATAACTTCAAGGAGATGAATTCTGTTTAGTTCTCAAAACATGACTGAATCAAATAGCACATATATTTTGTTTATCCCATCTTTAACACATATCCTATAAATGAAAGGTTTAAGAAGTTCTGCCTAAGCAAAATTATAATATTTATAATTATAATATTTAGAGTAAAATGTGGCTTCTAATTGAAATCACTGCACTGAGTTAAATGTTTTCTGAAACTGGATGAAAACTATAGAAATGTAAGAAGATACATTAATATTTATAAAGTAATAAAACAAAGTAAATTTTAGTTCTAGGTTTGGGATTTCAGGTAATGAGTAGATATCTTAGTATAAGATTTCTACTACTACTGCAATGTTCAATAACATTGTTGCAGGTTTAAAAATGTAAGTTCCTAATGTAACTTCCATGCTACTAAATTTTAACCATGTGTAATTCTTATGTCAAAATGACAAACTCACCCTTGCTTTTCTTCCATACACTCCATTAAACACCCAATAATATCACAAAGCAAAGTGTATTTATTTTAAAATCTGTTTTTGGCCTCTGCAGTTTTCCAGTTCCTTCTGCATGACACTTAATTTTCACCTCTTTTCCATCTCCCCCCTCTGTCCTTTCTTGAAATGACCCTCTTTTGGTAGCTGTTTTGAATTTCAGGTACCTGTTTTTCTCTTTCTCAGACACCACACGTGGTTCTGCTGTTAAAAGGTTTTCTATCTCATTTGCTCGACACCCAACCAATGGTATGTTTTCCTTTTATTTAAAAAAAGAATATTCCCTTGCTTCATCCCTTTCAAAACATGGGGTGTATCGTTTTGCCCACCATCATCCTTCCTAATTTCGACTGATCACATGGCCGTATGATCAATTATTAGTTACACTGATAGTTTGAAATCTGTTTTCCCTTTTAATTTCTTGATTTGTTTTTTTTAAATCGTACTCCAAATATTTTTGTGGTAAAATATAGATAATAGATAATTACAGTAAATAATTTCCACATTTAATTATACACATTACTCAACCAGTACTGTGATATGATGGTAAAAGAATTCCTGGTTCTTTCTCAGTAATCTTTGCCTTCTTGCTGTGTTGGATACATTTGTCCTGAAGCTTTGGAATTCAACATTAGAACTGTCTTGTCAAAGCAGACCAAAAAAACCCGCCTACTCAAGCATTCGGTTTTCAGCAGCAACCATCTAGTGATGTTGAGAAATTTATAACTTAAGACATGAAAGTGGTGGGTGCTCCTTTGTTTTTTGTTTTTCTTTCTTTCTGTGGACAGTTACTTTTAAGAGAAAGACATATAATGACACACTGAATCCATTTATAAATAAACAGTGATATTGATGATGCTCAGTTTATGAATTTTTTCATTATCCTCAATCACTCCAAATGTCTTCAGTATGTCACTATATTTATTTAACCTTAAAAGTTGCATATCTAGCTGCTTTTTTGTTGTTTTGTTTGTTTTTTCTCTAGCAGCTAGAATAAAAAGGATGCAAGGTTAGGAATATCGAGCTGCCAGTTATCTGTTGATTTTATTTATTAAAATATTTATGAACTGATTTTTCTGCCTACTGTAGACTTCAGAATAATGGACAATTTAATTCAATAACGCAATGAAATCCCCTTCCCCAGTGAAAACAAATAAAATATTCATTAAAACATTCTTTCGCTAGCAACATTAACCATTGTTACTAATCCTATTCTCATTTAGTTCAGTTATCATTTATAATGATACTGTTTGCTGTTGTCTTTGTTGAAGTGGTACTAAAGTTACAAGTGAACTGAAAAAGAGTGCTTATAGTCATTTTTTCAGTAACTTAAGTAGCGTGTGTGAGCCCTTTCTCCTTACGGCATGCTTTATTTCATCAGCTACTGATTTTATATTTTCCTTCTGGAGTTTCTGAATATTGGGAAGCATTTCTTTCCTGTCTTATGTAAACTGCTTCACACAATCTTTGCTACTGAATTGTTCCTTTTAGCACAATAACTGAGTTGACTACTCTCCCAGCATAGGTAAAATAATAGTTCTGGCCACACTGTGGCCATCATTAATTTGTCCATTTTCAAAAAGTTCCAGATGCAGTTCAGTAACAAAGCTCAAAGGTGATGAATGTGGGATTTCACTGAAACTGGAGGTTTATGTTTATGCTCTGTGATACATCTGCTGTACATAAGGCGAATTATAACGAAGCAATAGGTAACTTCAATTCTGAAGGAACTTTAGAAATATTTTCCCATTAATAAAAAGTGACCTTGAAAATAAGAACTCTGGAATATAGTCCTCTAATAAAAGCTCAGCATCATAATGCAAAATATTGTAGTTGAAAACCTTTAGTTGGGTTTGAGTGCTAAATGTTATATATATGTATACAGTTAGGAGAAATCTATTCAGCTGACTGAGTACAGTTATCTAAATTTAATATGTTTAATAGCCTTTCATTCTGTTTATACATTCATATCGATCAATTTAATATATTTTCTCATTTTTACAGTTTATTGCATTGTCTATCTATTGCTTTGATTCTAAATATGCTCCCTGTTATACTTGGGGGTTGCTCTACCTGCTTTGACAGGTATACTTCCTTGACTTTTTCATTGAGGCCTCCGTGTTTCTTTGATTTATGTAACTTTGTAGATAATGATGCAGCTCCTAACCTATTTCAGTCCTGCCCCTTCTTTCCTCTTGAATTCAAGGAACATGGTGAAATCATTATCTACTGACAGTGCTTTACCTTATTTTCTGGGCCTCTGTGCAGACCATCCAGACCTCTTTAGGTGCTGGTCCGTTTCCTCTGAGGAATTTCTAGGCTCCAGTGGTATGTTTCTATAGCTTTCAAATGTGAGACTGCAGGGTGGCTTTCTAAGTTGCTGCGCTAACCCTTTCATTGTCTTGTATTTTGAAGGAAAGTGATATTCTGCAATATGTCAGCATATAATGCCAGATCAAATATTTACTGCCCGATATGTATGTGGTTTCAGAAGACATAATACAAATGCAAGGTTCTAAGTTTTTTCCTTCACTCACGGAGACATGGTTTCAGAGCATTTCTTTAATGCTTGACAACTGAGTAATGCAGCTGCTATAGGGTGTGTGCGTAAAGGACTAGGTGGACAAAAATAAAAATAGAAGCAGAAATATTTATGATAATTTTAAGCTTTCATTTTAACTCTATGTACTATTACTTTTTCAAATGCGATACAGTTTAAGCATTCTTAGATAAACAGACTAAATAGACAAGAGCACTTGAAAAAAAGAAAGAAAACAACATGCTTTTAAATTCCCTTCTGGAATCATACAAATATTGATCTTTGCTGATACTCCTTTTTCCTACAGTCAGGGAAAGCTGCAGTTCTTGTGGAATTTACTGTAATGCAAAGAAAGGGTTTGCGCTTGCCTGCATGTGTAGCACTGCATTGTTCAAGGGTTATTATCACATATTATATACAATTGATTTGGGTCATACACAGTGCCTTATTTCATTAAATACAGTATTCAACATTTCCTCAATAAACTTTATTTTGCTAATTTCAAAGGATTCATACTTTGTAAATTTAATGAGAGAAAAGTGACATCAAATGGCCAAGGTACAGAATTGTTTAGGATAAATCGTGGGACTTAACTTTTTATTGCATTTTTAAAAGTTCTCAGAACTGTAAATATGAATATATATTGAATAACAATACCATCTCATAATATTCTCTTATGGAAATAAATGTTTTGGGAGTCAAATGTAGCCATCTTTTTAAAAAAATGTTTCTTTCAGTATTACAAAACTTAACCTTTATATTGACTTAGTGTTGCGTATGTGTGTTTAGCTATCATACAAGTGCTTTGCTGAATTTATATATGCATATGGATTTTTTTTAAAAAAATAACTAATGAAATTATGCATGGTTGGTGGTTCTAAAGTATATGCCTGTACTTATGCTGCCCAACATTGAGTTTTATATTTGTTTGTTTTGACAGTAACCATTATAAAAATGATGATGTTGGATATCAGTGATATAAGAGACTTTTTATAATTTTAGTATTTGAAGAGAAATGAATGAGCTTTCCTTGTAGAAAACTATAATTCTGTAATCTTTCATAGCTACTTTCACATTGTTGATAGAAGAACCAGTTCCAGTGTTAAGGAAATAACTTTGGGCTAAATTAAATACTGAACAACTCATCCTTTTGTAGCATTACCATGCTACTTTGAACACACCCAATTTATTCTGATTTTTGAAACTAAGCAAGATAATGCCTGGTTGATTCTTGCATGGATCAACCACCAGGGATCTTTTAAGTAGGGCCCTGAAGAACCCTGTCTGAAACCCCAGAGATCAATGTCTAACAGTGGGCTAGATGGACAAGGGACCTGACTCTGTAGGGTGATTTCCTAATACAGAAGGTTGAAAGATGTTGTATAAATGTACAGTGGATCAACAGAACTATTTCTATGTAAATGGCTGCCAGATAATTCCTCCTTAGTACTTCAGTGCTTACTCTTTTTTAGATATGCATGTTTTTGTGTTGTGCATATGCAGAACCTTGAACTTATTATATAGTAAGTTCTGATTTTCTAACCCTGCTCTATATTACTTCAGTATCCAGAGTTGTAACTAAAGAGTTATAGTATGTTTGCATGGATCTATATTTAAACTTTACTTGAATGGAAGAGTTATTTATGGGAATTGTTGCCCTCCTCTTTCTCATTGCAGTGCAGACCCATATATATCATGTGGCCAACTCAAAAAGCCCTTTTGTCAAGGAACATTTTTAGAGTGGCTCCTAATTCAGTGGTTCCTGAATTACAGTCAGGAGCAGAAATTAGGAGTCCCTTACTCTGATCCAAAAAGCTTTGAAGCATATGGTACAACTCTTTGTATTCTGATTTTTCTACTTGCCTCTGTAGATCACATTGTCACCAGTATAATGGCTCTGTTTATTCCTTTTACATTGGAAATCTGTGGTACATTTTCTTCTTTTTCAGGCTTTGAATTGTATTCCATGGTGCCTTCAATCTGTCCTCTAGAAACCCTCCATAACTCCTTGTCCTTAAAGCAGGTGGATGAATTTTTGGCCTCCATTACTGCCTCTACATCGTGTGACAATCTTCTGCAGGCATCTTCTATTTGTAATTACCATTTACATTTTCTGCTTTTCTTACTGCAAAACATGGTCAGACAAAAGCATTCCATTAAAATGCCAGGATTAGTTTAAGAATCGTGTACGAATGATAAAACAATCTTAGATTTGAATAAGTGTCTTCTGGTTTCCCCCAAGAACTGGCATATTACCATACCACCCACTCTTCAGCTGTCTTGAAGTGTAAGAAGATGTAATTTAACTTAAGTTAGTCACACAATATAATTACAACCCAATTGCTTGTCTTGTGTTCTGTTTAGAATATCTTTAGAGCAACAAAGGATACCTGCATGACTAGAAATGACTTAGATCTGAAAAAGGACACATCCACTGCACTTTCATTCTACACAAGCATACATACTAATGATAGCTCTAATTCTAATAATCTTTTAGAACCCAGGATTGTTTCAGATGCAGTTGCAGAAATAGGGAGTTGCCCTTGTGATGTGTGTATGTGTAAAGGTCTTATGTAACATCCAGCTCATCCCAAGAAGATAAAATATCTCATTGGAACTTAACCATCTACAAAGTGTATCTAGAATAGTGGCTGAAGTGACAGAAGGGGTTTTCAAAAAGCTAACTTTCCTGTCTACTCTTTCCCACAGCAATTTACAGAGTACCGGAGAAATGGTACACAGCAAATTAGGGAGCCACTTGAATGGTTAGGACTGTGATCATTACGGTGGGGGGGGGGGGGTGGTAATAATAATAATAATAATAATAATAATAATAATAATAATAATAATAATTCTTTCTACACCACCACCATCTCCCTGAAGGGATTTGGAGAAGCTAACAAAATACAGCAAAATGTCTTATATAGACAATACATAAATCTAAAATGATAAAATTGTAGAGTTGCAATCATGCACATACATAATTACAGTGTAAAACATTAAAATTCATAAAATGCAGTCATAGCTGCAGTTAAAAACAATTTGTTTCCAATTGACACAACCCAGTGCCGACGTGACACCAACAATAAGTCCTCGGGCTGATCCTAAAAAAAACTACGTAAAATCAAAGACTTGTTTTAAAAGCCATGTTTTAAAACTGGAATGGAAGGCTTGAAGCGAGGGGCCTATCCTGATCTCTTTAGGGAGGGCATTCCAGAGCTGGGACGCCACCACCAAGAAGGCCCTCTCTCTCATCCCCCCCAACTGTATTTGAGATGATGGTGGGACGAGAGAAGGGTCTCCCCAGCAGATCTCAATGCCCGCACCGGTTCATAGAAGGAGATGCGGTCTCAAAGATAGGTTGGACCCTAAACGTATAGGGCTTTATAGGTAATCACCTGCACTTTGAATTGGACCCAGAAACTTGCTGGGAGCCAATTGAACTGCTTTAGGAGGGGCGTGAATAGGATGAAGGGGAGGCACAACACATTATTACATATAGTATACCAACTTTGCTAAAACTGATATTGTTAAAGAAATGATATGCCCTTTTCTGCAATTTAATATAATATCTGCTCCTTCAGCATTAGTAATGTGCAGTTGCATAACAAAAAGTAAGATAAACTAGCTTTCTATTTTATTTTATTTTATTTTATTTTTGAAAAAAATATCTTAGGTTCTCCATTACATTTGGATGCCATGTCAGCGAGAAAGGAATCTTTAAACACATATACTCCTACTAAAATCCTGCCAACACCACTGGAAGACTTTTTGTGTCGGCGAACTGTGGAAAAAAGTCCTTCAGGTAAGTAGTGTTTGGAAAAGCAAGACCAATGAACATAATGTCAGTATAGCTTTACTAAGATATATATGAAGCAAAGAAATATGAGACTGTTCTGTTGAATATTGTTGAACCGAATCTCATATTCCTTTTTTATCTTTCTCAATTATACCACAAATTGAATAAAACAAGCTGGGGGGAGGGGGATGAGGGATCTATGCCCTTAGCACATATGTGTCTTTCCAGCCATGTGAATAGGTCACTAATTAGCAGCCTATATTCTAATTTGCACTCCATCAGTTGTTGAGGTCCGAGCATATAGAAGTATATTTCATTATTTTCTGCCCTCAGCATGTGCACTTGATCCTTGCTGATCTTGGCTGATTATAGTCGGATCTGGACTGAGAAATAGATAAATAACCAGTGTCTAACATTTTGTTTTAAAATACTTACTTGTATTTGTTTCTTTGTTTAATACTAGCTTGGGGACCCGATGCTGCCCGGGTTATTTAGAGAAAGTGGGTAATGGTGGTTCTGTATGCCAGTTTTGGTCTTTATTGGTTATTGGATGAGGGTCACATTGTTTTCAGGGAGTGAGTGAAGGTGCTGCAAGTCCCATCATCAGTGGTCAAGCCTCCTCCAAACTGCACCAGTATGTAGAGTGGGTCATGGGGGCTCTGTGTGCCGAATTTGGTTTTGCTCAGTCATTGGATGAGAGTCACAGTGGTCTCAGAAAGTGAGTGAAGGTACTGCAAGTCCCATCATCCATAGCCTGTCCTCCCCCTAACCACACCGGAATGTTGAGTTGGGGCTCTCTGTGCCAAGTTTGGTCTTTATTGGTATTTGGATGAGTGTCGCTGTGGTTTCAGAAAATGAGTGAAGGTACTGCAAGTCCCATCATCCATCGTCTGTCCTCCTCCAAACAGCACTGGGATGCAGAGTGGCTCATGAGGGCTCTGTGTGCCAAGTTTGGTCTTTATTGGTTATTAGATGAGGGTTGCAGCAGTCTGGGAAGTGAGTGGAGGTACTTGAAGTCCCATCATCCATCTCCAAATTCTTCCAAATCGCACCAGGATGTAGAGTGGGTCATGTGAACTCTCTGTGTGAATTGTGGTCCTGATCCATCATTGTTGGCAGTTGTAATGGTCTCAGGAAGGGAGTGCGGGTATTGCAAGTCCCATTGTCCATGGTGCATCCTCCTCCAAACCGCAGCAGGATGTAGAGTGGCTCATGAGGGCTCTGTGTGCCAAGTTTGTTCTGCATTTGTAATTGGATGAGTGTTGCTGTGGTCTCAGGAAGTGAGTGAAGGTACTGTAAGTCCCATCATCCATGGTCTGTCCTCCTCCAAACAGCACCAGGATGTAGAGTGGGTCATGGGGGCTCTGTGTGCCAAGACAGGCCTTTATTGGTAATTGGATGAATGTTGCTGTGGTCTCAGGAAGTGAGTGAAGGTACTGCAAGTCCCATCATCCATGGTCCATCGTCCTCCAAACTGCTGTAGGATGTAGAGTGGGTCTTGCGGGCTCTGTGTGCCAAGTTTGATTTGTATTGGTAATTTTCTGACACAGCCTCAGGACTTTTCCTCTCCTCTGTCACCTCAGAATCTTGGAGTTTTGAAGCTGGCCAATCAGAGACTATATGCAAATTGTGCCACAGTGGCAGCCAATCAGAACACTGCCACATACACCTCCCTCCCGTCCTCCCTCCACATACAAACACTGACTTTTATTATATACATAGATAGATAGATAGATAGATAGATAGATAGCTCCTTTCTCCCAAAATTAGACTGTAGGCACCTCACAGATAAATTAATTAAAACAATACAGGTTAAAAAAAATTAAAAACAGTATACAATTATTTGAAAAAGATACACAATTAACCTTAAAAACATAAAAAGAGCAGGGCATTAACCCTGATGTTTCTCCCTAAACATAATTACATATTAAAAGTCTTGCCTCTGTAGTTAGGAACATTGCATTTCATATATGTTTTGAAGTTGCTGAACATCCCAAAAGGCAGTTAATGGGCAAGGACTTGACTGCCATTTCTGATAATACAAAGAAAATGTTTGAAAGAACAAGCCACCTCACCAAACTTGGCCCATCCTGCATACGTCAGAGGTGTGCTAGATTGGAAATAGCAGTCATACACATTTTCTGAAAGAACTTCTTTTGCCTTTTCATCAGGAGAAACTATCAATGTGTGCTCTGCTCAGTCCTTTTCCTTTATGGTTCACAAACATATGGCTATAGTTAGGTGAATGTGTTCCCGTAATATCTGATATTCTATAAAACTGGGGTGTGGGGTTAATTTTATCTTGATGTTCAGTACTCATGGTTTTAACAATACTGTTTTTGTCAACGTTTCATTTAGAATATGCTATGATAGTGCATTTCAAACACAGTCATTCCTAGATGTTATTGAACCAAATAACATCTAGATGTTATTGGTCCATGAGGTCACGAAGAGTCGGAGACGACTGAACGAATGAACAACACCAACATTGAACCAAAAATATATTCAGGCCCAACTTTACAAACTATCATTGTGAATTTTGTGACAATTGTTATTGCAAGGGTTTTTAAAACAGAGTTGGCTGCCATATATAATGTAATAAGAATATTTAGATTGGAATGTTGGCATTTACTTTTTAAGTAATGTGTCTGTGTTACAGAATGCATATCTCAAATCTAAAGAGAAATTAGAGAGGATCAATATGGCCTAACATGAACCACCTGGTTTCTTACAGGCCAGAGAGGAATGTAGATGTAAGTTATAATTATTAGAAAGTGTTGAACCATTGCTTTCATCTTTTTAAATTCCCATCTGATTGAGAAAGATCGCAGTGTTGGGCATAATGCAGCCAAGAGTTAGATCTTTCATGTGTATTTCAGTGGGATAGAGGCACATGCATTTGTTATTCCAAAAAATAAAGCTCATAGTTTTAGCTTGGATCACATTGATGGTGATTTTTGTATTGAATTGGAAACATTATTTTTCTTTGCATGTAGGTCCCTCTGTTGATTCAACTTCTGACATCAGATTGCATCATGAAAGCCAAAACGATGGTTGAAAAATATTAGTGAAACATGGGTGGCAGAACTCTTTCTTGGATAAACTAAAACAAGTCAAGCAGACTGGAAGGAACTGCCATTGCCACCTTTCACAATGTACATTACTTGGCAGGAAAAAATGAATTAGCTTTTAAAAGCAGTGCATCTCTGTCTGTAAGAATGTATTTCTTTGTGTATATAATGATTGCTGCGGTGCATATATTGTATATATTCAGGTTAAAGGTAATGTCTTTGTTTCTAAAATATGAAAAGCAAAGAAGTTTACACCTATAATTTAAGGTTTCATTTTAATTAACAAGCTGCACAAAACATTTGCAATCTTTGTTGTTGTATAAACGCACACAAAACGAAACCAAAGCAGCCTAACATAGTTTGTGTTGCAGGAACAGCAGAAAGGTAACAAAGACAGGTTTAAAAAGCCACAACTTATTTTGAGGCCTGCAAAAAGCCTTCAGAAGTCAGGGCAAGAGAACATTTTTCATCACTGAGCCTGATCAACATGGCTCTTCTTAGTAGCTGTTATTGAATACCCATTTCTTTTAAAAATAGAGATTGTCAAATTATTTTGAACCACTTTAGTTTTATAATAATAACTATGAATAGAGAGGTGTGTGAAAAAAGGGCAATGTGAAGAATCTTATTAACTCTTTCTTCATAATGATTCTTAATAGAGGCTGGCTGATTTGTGGCAAACATCATTAAGCACTGGTATGCTCAGACCACCTTTAATTGGTAAGTGTAAGAGAGCAAACAAAGGCCAATGGAGTAGAAAATATTTTTTAAAGTCCTGCAATAACAGAGTACTGGTTTCACAGCCTTATATTTCAGAATGTGCGTTTCAGTCATTATCTTTCAGTAGCAGTCACAACTGTAATGAGGAACAATACTGTTTTTGTCCCTGTTCCCTGCAATCCCACTAACATCCAGCTGGAGTCACTTGTGAGATTTTGATTTTCTACCAGACTTCAGGATTCTGTTCTCTACCTTGGCCTAGCTAAGATATGGGACCTAAAAACATTACTTCCCCATTGCTGTTTTGAGGCAGTTGTTGGGCGATTTATATTGGGAACTTTTGTAGTATACTCCTGTATTCATGAGTCAAGAGTTAATGATTGATATCTTGCCCTAAACTGATACTTGGAACACTCAGTCTTGGCCTGGAGGTACCTCCTATTTAAATCCTTTCCCAAAGAAAACATTTGCTGTGTGGCTTTGTTTTGTTTCTTTTTGGGTATAGACATGCTGGGGTCATTTATGGCTAGTATGTCCTTGAATTTCCATGTTCATTGTATGTTTACATAAGAACTTTTCAAATCTACTTTGGTTGTTAATGTTTATGCTTTAATATATGGGTTCCTCTCTTCACATAATTTCCTGTTTACATTCTTCATAAAGGTTTTTTTTCTGTTTGTTGAAAAGATTGCTTTCTTTACAGGTATCTTCAGAATACTATTTTGAGCGTACTCTGCATGTAGGTAACAGGCTTTATAAAAGCAGGAACAGCTGGTCTGTTAATATTCCAAACTATCGATTTTATATATTTGTAGATGTTACTTGTAATGTTTTCAAATTAAAAGGAGTCGCAGCATTACCAAATCCATACAATTGAAGCTTAATACATAACAGTTGTACACAAGTTGTATAATTAATATCCCTGTCATTCTCATTTTTTTAATATCTGCTGTTAGCAGGTAGTAAAAACATTGAAAGATTTTAGTAGTACTATCAAAGTCTTGAAGTTTGAACTCTGCTTTGAAAGATATATTCAGGTTTCCTTGTCAACATTTAGATATTAGTTGCTCCATGAATTCTTTGTGGCCTGGTAAATTATTCATTGCTTATTAATACATTTATGAAAATTACAGTAACCAATATTAATATGCCTTTTATGAACAGCAATATTTTCCTGTTAAATTGCAGGAGGCCTAGCATAAGAACTCCAGCATTTCTACATGACAGTGTGATTGCTTATTAAATTTGCCATGCCATTGCTGTGCATATTTCATACGGGGTCATATGAGAAAGTCTTGGATACCATTTAAGATACCAAATATATGACTAGGTTCACAACTTCTCTTTGCGAAGATTTCATTTTTTGTAGTTCCAATTTTGTAGATTTGGACATTTGTCTTGCTCATCTCTGAATGTATATGTCATGTTTACTGTTTTTTCTATAAGAAAATGTTAAACTTTATATGTGCATATCATTCCACTCAACCAAAGCTTTGGCGTAAAATTCTGATATGCTCCTAAATAATAAAAAAAAACAGCAACATGCAGTGTATCTCCTTCCTTCCTTCTTTCTTTTTTTTAAAATAGTGAATGTCCTTAAATGGCTGAGGCCTTAAGCCATATGGAGCTTTAACAATTTCAACCTTAAATTGAGCATGCAAAATCACTGGGAACCGATGCAGGTCTTTCAGTATTGATGTAATGTGATCCCTCTATTGTGCAACAGATAGTATAGTCACAATGTTTTATACCAGTGAAAGATTCTGATGTTTTTTAGTGGTAGGCTACATAAAGCATGTTGTGATATTATGAAAATAATGTAAACAAAATGTGGATCATTTGGCTGCCCTTCAGCCAACAATCTCTCTTGTCACAGATGAGCAAAAGTGAATACAAAGGGGGGACAATTACTGTTTTTCGGAAGCTTACAGTCGGATATAATAACAGAAGCTTATGGTCAAATATAACAACAGAACCAAGTGATAATATCAAGTTACAAAATTTCATTCAACAAAAGATTGGGAAGCATATATCTCCATCAGTGATGAGGGATCACATAAAAAGTGAAATTGTATAGATCAGTTTTCTCAACCTTCCTAATACCATGACCCCTTAATACAGTTCCTCATGTTATGGTGACCCCCAACCATAATTTTTTTTTGCTACTTCATAACTGTAATTTTGTTACTGTTATGAATCATAATGTAAATACCTCATATGCAGGAAGTATTTTCATTCACTTGACCAAGTTTGGCACAAATACCTGATACGTCCAAATTTGAATATTGGTGGGAGGGGGATTGATTTTGTCATTTGGGAGTTGTAGTTACTGGAATTTATAGTTCACCTACAATCAAAGAGCATTCTGAACTCCACCAACGAGGGAATTGAACCATACTTGGCACACAGAACTCCCATGACCAACAGAAAATATTGGAAAGGTTTGGGAGTGATTGACCATGGCATATGGGAGTTGTACTTCACCCTTATTCAATGAGCACTGAACTCAGTTAATGAAGGATCTGGACCAAACATGGCACACAGACCCAACTGTGAATACTGGTGGGATTTGGGGAGGACTGACCCATGTTTTCGGGAGTTGTAGTTCACCCACATCCTTATGCATTTTCTAATGGGAGCATTAATTTAAAAAGTAAATACTTTTCCCTAATGAATAGCGTTGCAAATTACCTAAGATGCTTCTGCTGCTGCTGCTCCTGATGCTGCTCAGCTACTCTCAGTCCCACATCACGTGGGTGATTTTCCCCCTGCCTTGAAGGGACTCGCTGGCAGAAGCCTCCCACCAGCCTCATGGATGCGCACTACGCTGCCATGTGCTTAGCATGCCTGCTCTCCCCTCCTCGCTTGGAGTCTCAGAAACAGTCCTCCCCTTGATGGAGAGGCCAGCTGAGAGGCCGGCCAATTACAGCAGGAAGAAAGCTTTTGGTGGGAGGATTTGCTGTCTGTTTCCAAAATAGGAAGAGAAAGACAGGCAGAGAGATCTTCAGCCTTCTCTGCCAAAGGGGTTCCTATTTCTGATGCTCTTTGGCGACCCCTCTGAAACCTTCCTCGCATCCCCCCTCTAGGGGCCCGACCCCCTGGTTGAGAAATGCTGGTATAGATGGAAATAACATTTGTTGGACATAGGAACACTAAAGGAGATCCTAGCAAAACAAAATGTTCACTGTTACTGTTTTCTTCACAGAACCAAAGAACAATACTTCCTACTGTCCTATTTTGAATCTCAAATATTTCAATATTTTTATGAGGTATGTGAAGTTCAAAGTGGAAACATTGTGAATAATAAAAGAAAATTCAAGAATGGGAGACCACATAGCATTAATACATTTAAGGCACATACTTTCATGTACCTATGGCAGTGGAACACAGAAGATGCATATGGTTCCAATATCAAGGGAATGATTTCCACTCCAGAGCAATATCTTTCAATCTAGTGTCAGCAATATATTTATTTATGAAAATAAAAATGCCTTTGGTGACTTATCTGATACAGCAAAGTGTACTGTTATATCTGTGTCACAGAATGTCTCAAAAACTACACCTGTTGATAAACTACAAGCTAGCTGACATTGCCCCCCCCCCCCCCCCCCCCCCGATGTGTGTTGGGAAGTTACTGCTAACTGTGAGAGAACTAAGACTGAACACTGTGAAAGTCATCCACTGCATGACTGTCAGCCTCCCAGCAGACTCAAATCAAGGAAAAGCTTCATGAGAACAACCACTCCTCTTAACGTTCCCCCAGCAACAGCAAGATTATCCCTCTGGGCAGCTAAACTAGGAAATCCCAATTAGATGGCCCCCCATGAGGGTCTTCCTCTCGGGGCAAACCAAGAATGGGCAACTCGGAAGTCCCTGAACAGACCCAGAAGCAGAGTTGGAAGATCAAAAGACAATCTGGCAAAATGGCACTACTTAAAAAGAATCCCCCATCTTGTGTGACTGTGGAGTAGAACAGACAACTCTGCATCTGTATGCTTGTCCACTATGCCCTGCCTCATGTACAGAGAAAGAATTGTTGGAGGCTACAGACAGTGCCGTTGCTGTTGCCCAAAGGATATTTAGCCGCTTGTGCTCCTTCTATGTTTATCAGTTTTATGCTAATTTATGCAATGCTTTTGATAAGAAATAAATAAATCAATATCTGTATCTGGGTGATACTTTAGTAAAGACACAAAACAAGATTTAGAGAGACCTGCAGGTGACAATTCAGTTACGACTTTCAGATAATATATGAGAAAAGTCACTTGATTCCAGCAACTCAACATCTTGGAGCTCAGATAGACACCAAATTAGAATTAGGCTTATTGGAGGAGAGAAAAATGTAAGTACAAAAAGTTGCACAATTGATTTTTTCAGATACAGTAGATTTGATGGTCTTGCCCAGAGTAATGTTATCAACAATATAATCATTGCCATGGAAGCATTATCATTTGAGAGATCTGCAGAGATGTGTGATGTCACTTCAGCAAGCAATTGATAGAAAAGTTACATTGCACAGTGAGAATGCCAGTACATTTAAAGAAGGAGTTGAGTTGGCAGTCTGTAAGCAGGAACCTGAACATAGGAATATCTCAGTGTTATAAAACCAAACACAAGTAAAAACCAGTACATGGCTGACCAGTTGGGAGATGGGGGCTTACTGCAAATATCTTATGACCACAATGTTTTTCAAACCAGATAGAAAATAATGCAATATAAACTTTCTCAGGTTAAAGGTAGTGAGGCTATATGGCAGCATTTCTCAACCTGAGGGTCGGGACCCCCAAGGGGTCGCAAGGAGGTGTCAGGGGGGTTTACCAAAGACCACCAGAAAACACAGTATTTTCTGTTGGTCGTGAGAGTTCTGTGTGGAAAGTTTGGCCCAATTCTATTGGTGGGGTTCAGAATGCTCTTTGATTGTAGGTGAACTAAAACTCCCAGAAACTACAACTTCCAAATTTCAAGTCTGTTTCCCCCAAACTCCACCAGTGTTCACATCTGGGCATATTGAATATCCATGCCAAGTTTGGTCCAGATCCACCATTGTTTGAGTCCACAGTGCTCTCTGGATGTAGGTGAACTACAACTCCAAAACTCAAGGTCAATGCCCACCAAACTCTTCCAGTATTTTCTGTTGGCCATGGGAGTTCTGTGTGCCAACTTTGGTTCAATTACATCGTTGGTGGTGTTCAGAATGCTCTTTGATTATAGGTGAACTATAAATCCCAGCAACTACAACTCCCATATGACAAAATCAACCCCCACCCCCCACAACCCCACTAGTATTCAAATCGGGGCGTATTGGGCATTTGTGCCAAATTTGGTCCAGTAAATGGAAATACATCCTGCATATCAGATATTTACATGACGATTCATTACAGTAGCAAAATTAGTTATGAAGTAGCAACAAAAATAATTTTATGGTTGGGGGTCACCACAACAGGAGGAACTGGATTAAGGGGTCGCGGCATTAGGAAGGTTGAAAACCACTGCTATATGGGGATGGCATGTGTGAATAAAGACAAACAACTTTGCAGTGGATATTTCCAATCAAGGAGGTCTATGCGCAATTCCTCTAATACTGGAATTGAACATCTTGTTAATGTTGGGCAGAGAAGAATCTCAGTTCAATCTCAGCAATATATTTGAAAGGGAAAAGAATCTGTAGATTATCTAGCAGATCTATGATACATCCAGGAGAATTGAATGTAGATATGTTCCAGTACTTAAATAAGTTATTTGGGAATTTTCAAATAGACTTGTTTGCTTTGGAAAAGAAGATTATTTTCAATAGATGCAAAAATGCAGAGAACATCAGTGCTCTAGCAGTGAATTAGGGTGACTTTCTACTGGTGCAGATTCTTCAAAGATATCTAAAGCAGCATTTCTCAACCTGGGGGTCGGGACCTTCTAGTGGCATGGGCTGGTCCATGAGGTCACGAAGAGTCGCTTTTCCTCGCCCTGTATTGCCTGCCTTACCTTCCTCCTCATCCCATGGGGTGGGGGAGTGTCACCGCCCAGCTTCCTCCCATTGAAGGGAAGGCAACATGGGAAGGGTCCCATGTTGCCGCAACAGCAGTGGACACTTTTCAGCATGGAGCCTGGCCCCAAGTCCCTTTACGTTGTGTGAAGGGCTCTATGCCATAAAGGGAGGTGATGCAGCATACAATGGGCAAATCGGTCCATCTGATGAGGTCATAGGTCATAAAACCACACTTTGAATTGTTCCCAGGAAGAAACTGGCAGCCAGTTGAACTGTTCCAACAAATGAGTTGTATGCTCCCTGTAGCCAATCCCAGTTAACAACTTAGCTGCAGCTCTTTGGACCAAGTGAAGTTAATAAACATTCTTCCATGGCAGTTCCAAGTAGAGTGTGTTAGAGTAATCCAAACAGGATGAAACTAAGGCATGTACCACCATGGCCAGATCCAGCATCTCAAATAATGGGTG